GGCTGGCGGCGCGGGCGGTGCGGGGGCCGAGGCGAGAGAGCAGGCGCGGGCGGGCCCGGACGAGAGGGCAGGGCGTGAAGAAAGGTCGGAGGTTGATAGACCTCCTACCCTGACCCGTCGAGTAAGGAATTGGCCGTTTTCGGCTCGCGAGAGGGCGTCGCGGCCGTCATTTGTGCGGGTCCAGGTCCGTCGTTTTCGGTTCCAGGCCGTTTTCACTAAAGGGAGGTTTACTAAAGGGAGGTTTGTCCACCGAAAAGGGGGTTGGCGGGGGGGGGGAAAAGAGGGGGGGGACGAAATCTTCTGCATGCGGCAACACAGGAGGCATGTGGAAAAAAGGGGGGTAATGACGAAATCCGCGGCATGCGGCCGGTTCCGGCCCCGCGAGAATTGTTCAGGCCTGCCGAACGGGGCCGCTGTCTCGAATGCGCCTGGCGCCAACTGGCTGCCAACAACGCCGCAATGGGGCGCTTCAATCATGCCCCCCCTTGCATCTAGGACGCGGACAAATCCGTTCCAGAGCGTGCCGGAGCGCTCCCAGAGCGTTCCGGGACGCTCTGAGAAGGCCGCGGCGCTTTGTACATCCTCCAGAAGCGCTGGACCTGAGGGATTCTCGATGTATCCTCACCCGAGGTTCTCCTCGTCCAGGCTTCGCTTGAATCTCGGGTAGGCGCGAGTCTATCGCAGAGCCTGCCCCGAATGGCACAAGCAAGGGCTCGAGATGTCGAGCCCACGTGCCCAACTCCAGTGGTTGGCGACGCGCGGGGGTCCACCCAGGATGGGCCAGCCAAGGCGCGACCGGGGGAACAGAGCCTCGGCATCGCTCGGACGTGTGCATTGATTTCTTGGCGAGGCCCTTCGAGGATAACGTTCGACCCTCGGGCAGCAAAAAGCACACACGAAGCCCAAACATGCACGGGGAACGGACCTCCGAGCAATGGCACGCAGCTGGGACAAATGATCGACGATGAACGTCGGCGGATGGGGGATGTGGGCATGGTGGTTGTTTGGGGGCCTTGTTCGGCGGTGGATGCTTTGCTGCCGCTGGCGACAGCGCGACAGTTGGGTCGCTTGGGCGGGCCGACGCTACGGAGAGGTTGCTGGCAAATTCGTGCCCGCTGCGCCCCCCCAGCCTTGGTGCAACCACTGTCGCATCACCGGACCTCACCCCTCTCCACCTTCTCCTCGTTGTCCCTCCTGCCTACTCCTCATCCAACACATATATATTTTTTGTGCTCCGCCTCGCGTGAGTACGCACCCAGGGACGACTGACCAGAGTAGTGAACTGTGCGCCAGGCGGCTACGCTCGATCCTCGATCTCCTCGTGGCCGGTTTGCGCGCTTTCCTGGAGGGATTCGACTTGGACGATGACCTATGGCGCGAAGTCGTGCTGGACGTCGCCCCGTGCGAAGAGTGAGCCGGGTCATCTGTCTGGTACCGTGTGTAGCGCATCATCATAACATAACGCTCCCCAGCCAGGCACAATACGGCCTGAGGGATCCCTGAAGCCGCATCCAAGACGTTTTCGAGCCACCCTGGAAAGCTTCCAGTAACTTGGATTGCCCTATATTGGCCCCAGGGATACCAAGGGACTTCCGAGGAAACCTCAGAGATTGTCTCACGGGATCGCAGGACACTCAGGAGATCTTCAAGACCGCTGAACAGTGTTCACAGACCACCCGTCGGGTCACTTTTGCCAATTCTGGGCTTGGGAGAAGGGGCAGGTTTCACGAAGCCACTAATGGAGGTCAGCACTTGAGGCCCCCGTCAACTAGATTGCATAACTCTGTCCTGGAGCAAACCGATGCCACTTCGCGGACGAGTGCGAATCATCTAGCTTTCGATCCCAGGTCGGCGGCGAGCGGCGACACGCAGCAGAGATGTCGCCGCGGCAGATGCCGCAGTGCGAGGGACGGGCCGTGCAGTGGGGCAGACATCTGCGGGATGTACCTCGCGAGCCACCGTTGCTGGCGGGCAGAGGGACAGCCGGAGGCCTGGCAGTCGCGGCGCTGATGCAGGCAGTTCTCACGGCGGTGGGAAACCCGCCAGCACGCTTCAGTTGCAGTTTGATGCTCTGCCTAGGGCAAGGGAGTTGATCCCGGGATCCAGGGTCGGCTTCGAAGACTTCCAGTTGGCAGACCTCCAAGCGACACGGCCGCTCGAGCCTGAGGCAGCTCTGGCCTTCGCGACGGCACCGAGCTGCACGGCCAGGTGCCGTCTACTCTTTTACGGGCGGCCCGCACTACAGATTCTTGGGCTTACGCCACACCGCCGACCCCTTGGGGGGGCTCGCAGCGCGTCGCCTTGGACGTCAGTTGGCCCGTCTTGGGGCCCTCGAGGGCTATGTAGGAACCCTCTGGGAGGCGTCGTCTGGGAGCGGGTTTGGGGGGCTCTGGGGCCGTGCAGGAGCGGGGGACACCCCCAAAGGCGCCCGTGTGAAAAAATATACGTTTTACGAAGGAAACGAGCGATTTTTTGCGTCTAGAGGGCCTCTTGGGGGGAATCTTGGATGCCTGTGGGGGCGTCTGGGGAGGCCTCGTGAGCCGTCGGGAGGTCGTCGTCGATGTTTCTGATCGCTCTTGGACCGTCTGGGATCATGTGGAGCTTCGTGGAGGCAACTCGGAGCGCTCCTGGAACGCTCTTGGGGCCGTTTTCGGAGCCCTCTTGGGCCGTCTTGGACGCCTGTTGGCCTATCTTGGGCCCTCTAGGGGTCCCTCTGCGAGGCTTCTGGGGCCGTCTGGGAGCGGGTTTGGGAGCCTCTGGGGCCGTCGGGGAGCATCGGAAGATCCAAAGCTGAATTTCCAAAAAATGTACATTTCACGAAGGGAATGGCCCAATTTTTGCGTCTAGGGACCCTTGTGGAACGCATCTCGGAGGCCCTCGGGGGGGCTCGTGGGGACCTCTTCTGCTGTCGAGGACGCCTCGTGGCCCGTCTTCGGGCCAACTTGGACGTCTTGGAGCGCTCGTGGGGCGTCCCAAACCCAGTTCGAGGCCACCAGACGCGTCCCTACACGATTGTCACGTGTTTTTCCACGGTTTTCGGGAGCGGATGAGACCTCCGGGGGGTTCCGGGCCGCCCGGGGCCGTCCGGGGCCGTCCGGCCGGACCCCCCCCCCTCCAAATGGACCGGACCGGGCTCCCGGGGGAGGGGTTTGGGGAGGGGGAACATCTCACACGCCGATGAACCCCAAGGGGTCGGCGGATTCCAAGTAGCTGTGGGTGTCGCGACAGAGCTTCTGCCGCTCTTCAAGGAAGGTTGCGCATCGGTAGGTGGGGCCCCGTCTGGTGACATTCTGGGCTCTGGCATGCTGGCTATGCTCGGGCCGCCCGCACTCTGATCCGTATACCCGTCGTCCTAACCATTGAGGTGGGGGCTGGACCAGTTCTTGAGATTGGTACATACGGCCTGGAGGGGGGCTGAAAGACCGCGGACGGACACGGTGGAGGAGGAGTGATAATATAGAGGAAGAGTTATGAGGAGGACGACGAGGAGCAGTAGGATGAGTAAAAGGGAGGGAAGAACAGTCAGGACACGGGGAAGAACCGTGACAAACAGTAGGATCGGGAAGGAGGAGGAGGATGAGAAGCGGGAGAGGGGACCAGCAAGAGAAGAAGGAGGAGGACGACGGGATATATGAAGATATTCAGAAGCAGGACGAGGATGAAGATGAGAAAGGAGGGCGATGAGGGTGAGGGTGAGGGTGAGCAGGAGGAGGAGGGAGGAGGAGGAGGAGGAGGAGGAGGAGGAGGAGGAGGAGGAGCAGGGCTTGGAGGAGGAGGAGGAGGAGGAGGAGGAGGAGGAGGAGGAGGAGGGAGAGGAGCGAACGTCGTTGCGGAAGGCGACGCCCAGAGTGCTGACCCCCTACGGCCCCCAACGCAGCACGTGATGGGTACCAGAGCCTACTTGGGCGGCGAAGCGCACAGCGCAGTTGGCGTGAACTCCGTCGACATAGCGACGACCAGGAGGAGGACGACGAGCACGACGAGGTTGACGGAGGCGGGGGGGGCAGGACGCAGGACCCCCAGGCGCACCGACCTCCACGCTCACGGTACCAGTCGCGGACCGGCGGCAGGCCATTTCTCGGCCGGCAGCCGCGGGGCCTTCACCTGCAAGGAAGGCTTGGAACGTCTCAGGGATGTTTCACAGTTCTTAGATTGACCTCGCGCGCGCCTCGAGAGGGCACGAGGTCCAGGCAGAGAGACCAGTGGCAGCCATAGGCACGACGGCGATGAATAACAGCGACGGCGAAAAACGAGGACAACATCAAGGCGAGATGAGAAGGAGAGGGAGGAGGAGGAGGAGGAGGAGGAGGAGGAGGAGGAGGAGGAGGACGAGGAGGACGGGGGTCGGAGGAAGATGAGGATCTCGGATGGGGGGGGGGGAGGGAGGGAGGGCCACGGAAGAGCACGAGGAGAATGATACGGAAGCGGAGGAGAAGGAGAGAAAGAAGCATGATGGAGGATAATCAGACGCTAATTACGTACCGTTCTCCGAACGTAGACGTCCCAACCTTTCCTACCGCCCCGCGGTGCGGAGGGAAACGCTATCCTCGGGCAGGGCATAGCATGTCGCCAGGGCCGCCGCCGCGGCACGCTAAGCAACAGTTCTCGACCGTGATTACTCTCAGCTGTCCGTTTCTTTCCCCTTCTTCCTATCTCCTGTTCTATGTCCTCCTATCCTCACACCTCCGCTCCCTCCATCCCTCTCCATACTCTTCTCGCTCTGCTTCTCTCCTTCCCTCCCTACCCACCATCCATCCCCGAAGCAGGCTGCAAGTCCGGACGCCATAGAGAAGCGGGGCACAATCGATTTGGATTACCGCGTGTTCCTGCCGGAGAGGTTTGACGTGAGCATCAACGCTAGATTCAATTTGGACCGCGGCGAAAACTAAGCCACGTCGACGAATACTATTCTCTATGTTTCAGTGCACATGTGTTCATATTAGGGACACCAGATGGTAACATCGTGGAACCACCAAAACAGCAGGCTAGTGTCCGTAGCCATTTTGGCTCAAGCCATTTTGGCTCAAGCCATTTTTGCTTAAGGTATTTACAATGCGGCTCAAGCCGCGGTGCCGTGTCTTCTCGGATGCTGGGCATCGGCCGAGGGTCTCGAGAAGGCGTTATTTCCCTCGAAGCGTCGATCAAGAGCTGCGGTCGGACAAAACAATGGAGCGTAGCACTGCGGTTGCTCCGCGAAGGACTTCGATTAGGTGTGCAACTTGGCCCAGGCCACTACGTTGCGACTGCCAGCGCATGCAGAAAAGGCGGGCAATGGCAACACGCGCTTTCAGTGCTCAGTGACATGTGGAAGGCGAAGCTGGAGCCCAACGTCATCAGCTACAGCGCTGGGATCAGCGCGTGCGAGAAGGGCGAGCAGTGGCAGCCGGCGCTTGCGCTGCTGAGCGAGATGTGGGAGGCCAAGCTGGAGCCCGACGTCATCAGCTACAACGCTGGGATCAGCGCGTGCGAGAAGGGCGAGCAGTGGCAGCGGGCGCTTGCGCTGCTGAGCGAGATGTGGGAGGCGAAGCTGGAGCCCGACGTCATCAGCTACAGCGCTGGGATCAGCGCGTGCGAGAAGGGCGAGCAGTGGCAGCGGGCGCTTGCGCTGCTGAGCGAGATGTGGGAGGCGAAGCTGGAGCCCAGCGTCATCAGCTACAACGCTGGGATCAGCGCGTGCGAGAAGGGCGGGCAGTGGCAGCGGGCTTGCGCTGCTGAGCGAGATGCGGGAGGCGAAGCTGGAGCCCACGTCATCAGCTACAGCGCTGGGATCAGCGCGTGCGAGAAGGGCGAGCAGTGGCAGCGGGCGCTTGCGCTGCTGAGCGAGATGCGGGAGGCGAAGCTGGAGCCCAACGTCATCAGCTACAGCGCTGGGATCAGCGCGTGCGAGAAGGGCGAGCAGTGGCAGCGGGCGCTTGCGCTGCTGAGCGAGATGTGGGAGGCGAAGCTGGAGCCCGACGTCATCAGCTACAGCGCTGGGATCAGCGCGTGCGAGAAGGGCGAGCAGTGGCAGCGGGCACTTGCGCTGCTGAGCGTGATGCGGGAGGCGAAGCTGGAGCCCAACGTCATCAGCTACAGCGCTGGGATCAGCGCGTGCGAGAAGGGCGAGCAGTGGCAGCCGGCGCTTGCGCTGCTGAGCGAGATGTGGGAGGCGAAGCTGGAGCCCGACGTCATCTCTACTACATTGCAGGGCCCAGTGCGTGCCAGAATGGCGCAGGCCCCAATGCACCGAAACCGCCCCGGGCTGGCCCCGGGCCGCCCCAGGCCGCCCAGGCAGGCTCCAGGACATGTCGAGAGGACCCCCAGAAGCCCCCAAGACGGCCCCGGAGAGCCCGGGCACGCTTAAAGATGGGCCCAAGACGCCCGAGATTCGCCCCAGACGGCCCAAGAGGCGTCCAAGACGCCCGAAGAGGCCTCCCAAGAGGCCTCCCAAGAGGGCCCCGAGCGACAGAAATCGTCGATTTCTACTGTGTTTTTCGATGTTTTCGGCCTCCTCGCCTCTTCGGCTTCCCGACGCTCCAAGACGGCCCAAGAAGTCCCCCGACCGCTCCAAGACGGCCGAAGAGGACCCCAAGAGAGCCCCAAGACGGGCCAGGAGGGCCCCAAGACGGTCCCAAGACGCCCCAGGACGGCCCCAGGACGGCCCAGGAGGCGCCCAAGACAGCCCAAGAGGCACCCAAGACGGCCCCAGGAGCGGCCCAAGACGGCCCAAGACAGCCCAAGAGGCACCAAGGCTGGCCTCAGACGGCCCCAAGACGGCCCAAGAGGCACCCAAGACGGCCCGAGAGGGCCCTAAGAGCCCCCCCGGGAGGCCCAAACGAAGGCCGAAGAGGCTCCGAAACGGCCCCCAAGAAGCCTTCAGTGCCTTCAGAATTCCCTCCAGGAGCGGGGGAGCGGACGAGAGGCGACAGGCATATCGCAGGCAAAAACGCCCCAAGAGATCCCCAAACGGCCCCCACGAAGCCCTAAGTGGCCTCAGAATTGCTTCCAGGAGGGGGGGAGCGGACGAGAGGCGACCGGCATATCGAAGGCACACAAGAACAATGATTGCCTTTCGGCCCTGCAGCCGCACCCCCCGCGCTTGCCCAGAGACCCCTCGCCACGTCGAGCTGATGTCGTGGACGGAGTCCACAGGTCTGCCCTATCAGCTACAGTGCTGCGATCAGTGCGTGCGAGAAGGGCGAGTAGTGGCAGCGGGCCCTGGCGCTGCTGACCGAGATGCGGGAGGCGAAGCTGGAGCCCAACGTCATCTCTACTACATTGCAGGGCCCAGTGCGTGCCAGAAGGGCGCAGGCCCCAATGCACCGAAACCGCCCCGGGCTGGCCCCGGGCCGCCCCGGGCCGCCCAGGCAGGCTCCAGGACATGTCGAGAGGGCCCCCAGAAGCCCCCAAGACGGCCCCGGAGAGCCCGGGCACGCTTAAAGACAAGCCCAAGACGCCCGAGAGTCGCCCCAGACGGCCCAAGAGGCGTCCAAGACGCCCGAAGAGACCTCCCAAGAGGCCTCCCAAGAGGGCCCCGAGCGACAGAAATCGTCGATTTCTATTATGTTTTTCGATGTTTTCGGCCTCCTCGCCTCTTCGGCTTCCCGACGCTCCAAGACGGCCCAAGAAGTCCCCCCGACCGCTCCAAGACGGCCGAAGAGGACCCCAAGAGAGCCCCAAGACGGGCCAGGAGGGCCCCAAGACGGTCCCAAGACGCCCCAGGACGGCCCCAGGACGGCCCAGGAGGCGCCCAAGACGGCCCAAGAGGCACCCAAGACGGCCCCAGGAGCGGCCCAAGACGGCCCAAGACAGCCCAAGAGGCGCCGAGGCGGGCCTCAGACGGCCCCAAGACGGCCCAAGAGGCACCCAAGACGGCCCGAGAGGGCCCTAAGAGCCCCCCCGGGAGGCCCAAAAGAAGGCCGAAGAGGCTCCGAAACGGCCCCCACGAAGCCTTCAGTGGCTTCAGAATTCCCTCCAGGAGCGGGGGAGCGGACGAGAGGCGACAGGCATATCGCAGGCAAAAACGCCCCAAGAGATCCCCAAACGGCCCCCACGAAGCCCTAAGTGGCCTCAGAATTGCTTCCAGGAGGGGGGGAGCGGACGAGAGGCGACCGGCATATCGAAGGCACAAAAGAACAATGTTGGACGCTCCGAGGGCCTTCGATGTTTCTCCGTTGGGGAGAGTCGTCGTAGGATCGACGATTGCCGACCGAGGGCAGCGAATCCAGTGGAGGCCCAAGAGGCCCCCAGGAGCCCAAAAGAGATCCCCAAGAGGTGCCACGGGGCTTAAAAACTGCTTCGAAGCGAGGGGGGCGGACGAGGGGACCGCCTCAGGAGGTTTTGGACGGTTTTGGGCCTCAAAATCGTCCGCTTTACGACGGTTTTGGAAGGATTTTGGCCTTCTCGCCTTTTCCGCTTTCCGACGCTCGAAGGCGGCCCAAGAGGCCTCCAAGAGCGCCCCAGAACGGCCCAAAAGGTTTCCAAGAGCGCCCCAAGACAGCCCAAGAGGGCCCCAAGGCGACCCAAGAGACGCTCAAGACGGCCCACGACGGCCCGAAGACAGACCCAAGAGAGGGCCAAGAGGGGGACCACGGACCGAAAATCCGAGCCTTCCGCCCCAAGAGGGCGCCAGGAGGCCCAAACAGGCCCCCAAGAGGCCCCAAGGGGCCGCCAAGAATCCCCCGAAGAGGCCCCAGGAGGCTCCCAAGGAGCCCAAACGAGGCCCCTACAGAGGCCCCAACAGCTTCCAAAATGGCCCCGAAGAGGCCTCGAGCCCGCCTCCGAGCTTCCTCGCCGCGAGGGTGCCAACACGGCCCCAGACCGGCCCAGGACGGCCCAAGGCGCGCTCAAGACGGCCCAAGACGATTCCAAGACGGTCCCAGGAGGGTGCGCCCAGGACGGCCCAAGGACGCGCCCGTTCGGGGCCTCAAGACGGGCCAAGATGGCAAGAGAGTCCCAGCTGGCAAAAATCGTTAATTTTCCATTGTTTACTGTTACACCCTTTGCGTTTCCCGCCGTTTCGGCGGTCCGATGCACCAAGAGGCCCCAGAAAGTCCCAGGAGGGTCCGAGGAACCGCCCAGGAAGGCCCCAAGACGGGCCAAGACGGACCCAGCACAACCCAAGGCGCGCTGCGACGGCTCAAGACGGCTCCAAGACAGCCCCAAGAGGGTGCCAACACGGCCCCTGCTGGGCCCAGGACGGCCCAAGGAGGCGCACAGGAGGGGCCCAAGACGACTCCAAGGCGGCCTCCTCACGGTCCCAGACGGCTCCAAGACAGCCCCACGAGGACCCCGATGGGCCCAGGACGGCCTACGGACGCGCCCATGAGGGGCCCACGACGAACCAAGACGGCCCCATCAGGGCAAACGGCGCCCTCAAGACGGGCCTAAACGGCTCCAGGACGGCCCTTTGAGGGAGCCAACGCGGCCCCACACCCTTCGGCGCACACTTGGGGGGGCTGGGAGCTTGCGACAAGTTTGCCACATTCATTGTCCTGCCCCATTCTGTTCGCCTGGAGGCCTCCTCCAACCCTGTGGGCGAACAAGAGGAATCCTAGCGGGACTCCAACCCTGGGGCCCGTGGGCCCCGCGCCGCTTGGGCAGAAGACGAACGCCGGGTCTGACAGGCCAGCTACCGCCCCCCTTTGCCCGATATGCTGTGCCATTCTGTTTCCCCAGGGGCCTTGGCAAACTCTTCGGGCCAAGCAGACCGGACCCCTGGGACAGCAGCCAATTGATATGACCCTGGGACCTCTCCGCATTCTTCGGACGAGCATCTGGGGGGCCCAGGAGATTCGGACAAGTCTTCCCCATTCCTTGCCCTGTCCCGTTCTGTTCGCCCGAAGGCCTCCACAGACCCTCTGGGCGAACAGAATGGGACATGGCGAACAAACCCTCCCGTTGGCGGTGATGCGACTGGATCGCACCATCAAGGCGCGCCCGGAGGTGATGGCCGACCCAACAGCGGTTTCTCTTAACAGTTCGCTGGATTTCAAATTTTCTTGAAGCTCTCTTGGGCCCTCCCTGTAGATCCTTGCGAGCCTCCCCGGCGCTTTCGGTGGCTTTCCCCGATGGCCTCCCGAGCCCTTCCCCGAGCGCTCCTGAGACGCCTCAGATGGGCTTCGACTTCGACGCACATCCCCGAGAGACTTCGAAACTGTCCTCAATAGGAGGGGGGTGAACGAGCAGTGCGCTGGGCCAAGCTGCTGCAGCGCTGCAAGAGCTCGGACACGAAGGCGCGGTCTCGCTGCCGCCGCCCGAGCCGCCGCCGTGTTTGTAGATTTTCGGTACAATCTGCGCCGTTCCTCCGAGAACCATTCCAGAAAGATGTCGTGGACGGAGTCCACGGGTCAGCCCTAGTCAGCTACAACGCTGGGATCAGCGCGTGCGAGAAGGGCGAGCAGTGGCAGCCGGCGCTTGCGCTGTTGAGCGAGATGTGGGAGGCCAAGCTGGAGCCCAGCGTCATCAGCTACAACGCTGGGATCAGCGCGTGCGAGAAGGGCGGGCAGTGGCAGCGGGCACTTGCGCTGCTGAGCGTGATGCGGGAGGCGAAGCTGGAGCCCAACGTCATCTCTACTACATTGCAGGGCCCAGTGCGTGCCAGAATGGTGCAGGCTCCAATGAACCAAAACCGCCCCGGGCTGGCTCCGGGCCGCCCAGGGAGGCCCCAAGACACGTCCAGAGGGTCCCAAAAATCCCCCAAGACGGCCCCGGAGAGCCCCGGCACGCTTAAAGATGCGCCCAAGACGTCCGAGAGTCGCCCCAGGCGGCCCTCGAGGCGTCCAAGACGCCCGAAGAGGCCTCCCAAGAGGCCTCCCAAGAGGGCCCCGAGCGACAGAAAGCGTCGATTTCTACTGTGTTTTTCGGTGTTTTCGGCCTCCTCGCCTCTTCGGCTTTCCGACGCTCCAAGACGGCCCAAGAAGTCCCCCCGACCGCTCCAAGACGGCCGAAGAGGACCCCAAGAGAGCCCCAAGACGGGCCAGGAGGGCCCCCAGACGGTCCCAAGACGCCGCAGGACGGCCCCAGGACGGCCCAGGAGGCGCCCAAGACGGCCCAAGAGGCACCCAAGACGGCCCCAGGAGCGGCCCAAGACGGCCCAAGACAGCCCAAGAGCGCCCAAGACGCCCGAGATTCGCCCCAGGAGGCCCTCGAGGCGTCCAAGACGCCCGAAGAGGCCTCCCAAGAGGCCTCCCAAGAGGGCCCCGAGCGACAGAAATCGTCGATTTCTATTGTGTTTTTTAATGTTTTTGGCCTCCTCGCCTCGTCGGCTTTCCGACGCTCCAAGACGGCCCAAGACGCCCCCCCGACCGCTCCAAGACGGCCGAAGAGGATACCCAAGAGAGCCCCAAGACGGGCCAGGAGGGCCCCCAGACGGTCCCAAGACGCCGCAGGACGGCCCCAGGACGGCCCAGGAGGCGCCCAAGACGGCCCAAGAGGCACCCAAGACGGCCCCAGGAGCGGCCCAAGACGGCCCAAGACAGCCCAAGAGCGCCCAAGACGCCGAGATTCGCCCCAGGAGGCCCTCGAGGCGTCCAAGACGCCCGAAGAGGCCTCCCAAGAGGCCTCCCAAGAGGGCCCCGAGCGACAGAAATCGTCGATTTCTATTGTGTTTGTCAATGTTTTCGGCCTCCTCGCCTCGTCGCCTTCCCGACGCTCCAATCCCGAGAAGACGGCCCAAGACGCCCCCCCGACCGCTCCAAGACGGCCGAAGAGGACCCCAAGAGAGCCCCAAGACGGGCCAGGAGGGCCCCAAGACGGTCCCAAGACGCCGCAGGACGGCGTCCGGACGGCCCAGGAGGCGCCCAAGACGGCCCAAGAGGCACCCAAGACGGCCCCAGGAGCGGCCCAAGACGGCCCACGACAGCCGAAGAGGCGCCAAGGAGGGCCTCAGATGGCCCGAAGACGGCCCAAGAGGCACCCAAGACGGCCCGAGAGAGCCCTAAGAGCCCCCCCGCGAGGCCCAAACGAAGGCCGAAGAGGCTCCGAAACGGCCCCTACGAAGCCTTCAGTGCCTTCAGAATTCCTTCCAGGAGCGGGGGAGCGGACGAGAGGCGACCGGCATATCGAAGGCACAAAAGAACAATGTTGGACGCTCCGAGGGCTTCGATGTTTCTCTGTTGGGGAGAGTCGTCGTAGGATCGACGATTGCCGACCGAGGGCATGGAGAATCCAGCGAAAGAGGAGAAGAAGTGGAAAGGGGAGGAGGAGGAGGAGGAGGAGGAGGAGGAGGAGGAGGAGCCCGACGCCATCATGATTGCCTTTCGGCCCTGCAGCCGCACCCCCCCGCGCTTGCCCAGAGACCCCTCGCCACGTCGAGCTGATGTCGTGGACGGAGTCCACAGGTCTGCCCTAGTCAGCTACAGCGCTGGGATCAGCGCGTGCGAGAAGGGCGAGCAGTGGCAGCGGGCGCTTGCGCTGCTGAGCGAGATGTGGGAGGCGAAGTTGGAGCCCAACGTCACCAGCTACAGCGCTGGGATCAGCGCATGCGAGAAGGGCGAGCAGTGGCAGCGGGCGCTTGCGCTGCTGAGCGAGATGTGGGAGGCGAAGCTGGAGCCCGACGTCATCAGCTACAGCGCTGGGATCAGCGCGTGCGAGGAGGGGGAGCAGTGGCAGCGGGCGCTTGCGCTGCTGAGCGAGATGCGGGAGGCGAAGCTGGAGCCCAACGTCATCAGCTACAGCGCTGGGATCAGCGCGTGCGAGAAGGGCGGGCAGTGGCAGCTGGCGCTTGCGCTGCTGAGCGAGATGTGGGAGGCGAAGCTGGAGCCCGACGTCATCAGCTACAACGCTGGGATCAGCGCGTGCGAGAAGGGCAAGCAGTGGCAGCCGGCGCTTGCGCTGTTGAGCGAGATGTGGGAGGCCAAGCTGGAGCCCGACGTCATCAGCTACAACGCTGCGATCTGCACGAGTGAGAGATGCAGCCAGTGGCGGCATGCATTTTCGCTGCTCAGAGTGATGCGGGAACGCCATGTGGAGACTAACGATATCAGTTACAATTTATGCATCACGGCTTATGAGAGGTCGTCTCGCAACTTGGCAGGCTTGTCCTGCTATCGTTGTATCGGCCTTTCCCGTTTTCGAGTGTCTTGCGAGGCACTGTCCGAGTGGGAACCTGCTGGGGAACCATTGTGATCACGTGGGCGAACATCTGTATTTTGAATTTGGCAGCAGTGTTCCGTCGCGCAGGAAGCCGCTTCGGATACCATTACGTGGATCCGCCCTGGTTGGCTACAGCACTGAGATCAGCACTTGTGATAGAGGCGTCCAGTGAAAGCGGGTCCTGCCGATGATCAGCGATCTGTTGATTGTGAAGTTGAAGCCCAATGGCGTCAGCTACAACGCTGGGATCAGCGCGTGCGAGAAGGGCGAGCAGTGGCAGCCGGCGCTTGCGCTGCTGAGCAAGATGTGGGAAGCTGGAGCCCAACGTCATCTCTACTACATTGCAGGGGCACGTGCGTGCCAGAAGGGCGCAGGCTCAAATGTCTCAAAACCGCCCCGGGCTGGCCCCGGGCCGCCCCGGGCCGCCCAGGCAGGCCCCAGGACATGTCCAGAGGGCCCCAGAAGCCCCCAAGACGGCCCCGGAGAGCCCTAGCACGCTTAAAGATGGGCCCAAGACGCCCGAGATTCGCCCCAGGCGGCCCAAGAGGCGTCCAAGACGCCCGAAGAGGCCTCCCAAGAGGCCTCCCAAGAGGGCCCCGAGCGACAGAAATCGTCGATTTCTACTGAGTTTTTCGATGTTTTCGGCCTCCTCGCCTCGTCGGCTTCCCGACGCTCCAAGACGGCCCAAGAAGCCCCCCCGACCGCTCCAAGACGGCCGAAGAGGACCCCAAGAGAGCCCCAAGACGGGCCAGGAGGGCCCCCAGACGGTCCCAAGACGCCCCAGGACGGCCCCAGGACGGCCCAGGAGGCGCCCAAGACGGCCCAAGAGGCACCCAAGACGGCCCCAGGAGCGGCCCAAGACGGCCCACGACAGCCCAAGAGGCGCCGAGGCGGGTTTCAGACGGCCCCAAGACGGCCCAAGAGGCACCCAAGACGGCCCGAGAGGGCCCTAAGAGCCCCCCCGGGAGGCCCAAAAGAAGGCCGAAGAGGCTCCGAAACGGCCCCCACGAAGCCTTCAGTGCCTTCAGAATTCCCTCCAGGAGCGGGGGAGCGGACGAGAGGCGACAGGCATATCGCAGGCAAAAACGCCCCAAGAGATCCCCAAACGGCCCCCACGAAGCCCTAAGTGGCCTTCAGAATTGCTTCCAGGAGGGGGGGAGCGGACGAGAGGCGACCGGCATATCGAAGGCACAAAAGAACAATGTTGGACGCTCCGAGGGCCTTCGATGTTTCTCCGTTGGGGAGAGTCGTCGTAGGATCGACGATTGCCGACCGAGGGCAGCGAATCCAGTGGAGGCCCAAGAGGCCCCCAGGAGCCCAAAAGAGATCCCCAAGAGGTGCCACGGGGCTTAAAAACTGCTTCGAAGCGAGGGGGGCGGACGAGGGGACCGCCTCAGGAGGTTTTGGACGGTTTGGGCCTCAAAATCGTCCGCTTTACGACGGTTTTGGAAGGATTTTGGCCTTCTCGCCTTTTCCGCTTTCCGACGCTCGAAGACGGCCCAAGAGGCCTCCAAGAGCGCCCCAGAACGGCCCACGAGGTTTCCAAGAGCGCCCCAAGACAGCCCAAGAGGGCCCCAAGACGACCCAAGAGACGCTCAAGACGGCCCACGAGGGCCCGAAGACAGGCCCAAGAGGGGGCCAAGAGGGGGACCACGGACCGAAAATCCGAGCCTTCCGCCCCAAGAGGGCGCCAGGAGGCCCAAACAGGCCCCCAAGAGGCCCCAAGGGGCCGCCAAGAATCCCCCGAAGAGGCCCCAGGAGGCTCCCAAGGAGCCCAAACGAGGCCCCTACAGAGGCCCCAACAGCTTCCAAAATGGCCCCGAAGAGGCCTCGAGCCCGCCTCCGAGCTTCCTCGCCGCGAGGGTGCCAACACGGCCCCAGACCGGCCCAGGACGGCCCAAGGCGCGCTCAAGACGGCCCAAGACGATTCCAAGACGGTCCCAGGAGGGTGCGCCCAGGACGACCCAAGGACGCGCCCGTTCGGGGCCTCAAGACGGGCCAAGATGGCAAGAGAGTCCCAGCTGGCAAAAATCGTTAATTTTCCATTGTTTACTGTTACACCCTTTGCGTTTCCCGCCGTTTCGGCGGTCCGATGCACCAAGAGGCCCCAGAAAGTCCCAGGAGGGTCCGAGGAACCGCCCAGGAAGGCCCCAAGACGGGCCAAGACGGACCCAGCACAACCCAAGGCGCGCTGCGACGGCTCAAGACGGCTCCAAGACAGCCCCAAGAGGGTGCCAACACGGCCCCTGCTGGGCCCAGGACGGCCCAAGGAGGCGCACAGGAGGGGCCCAAGACGACTCCAAGGCGGCCTCCTCACGGTCCCAGACGGCTCCAAGACAGCCCCACGAGGACCCCGATGGGCCCAGGACGGCCTACGGACGCGCCCATGAGGGGCCCACGACGAACCAAGACGGCCCCATCAGGGCAAACGGCGCCCTCAAGACGGGCCTAGACGGCTCCAAGACGGCCCTTTGAGGGAGCCAACGCGGCCCCACACCCTTCGGGCGCACACTTGGGGGGGCTGGGAGCTTGCGACAAGTCTCCCACATTCATTGTCCTGCCCCATTCTGTTCGCCTGGAGGCCTCCTCCAACCCTGTGGGCGAACAAGAGGAATCCCAGCGGGACGCCAACCCTGGGGCCCGTGGGCCCCGCGCCGCTTGGGCAGAAGACGAACGCCGGGTCTGACAGGCCAGCTACCGCCCCCCTTTGCCCGATATGCTGTGCCATTCTGTTCCCCCAGGGGCCTTGGCAAACTCTTCGGGCCAAGCAGACCGGACCCCTGGGACAGCAGCCAATTGATATGACCCTGGGACCTCTCCGCATTCTTCGGACGAGCATCTGGGGGGCCCAGGAGATTCGGACATGTCTTCCCCATTCCTTGCCCTGTCCCGTTCTGTTCGCCCGAAGGCCTCCACAGACCCTCTGGGCGAACAGAATGGGACATGGCGAACAAACCCTCCCGTTGGCGGTGATGCGACTGGATCGCACCATCAAGGCGCGCCCGGAGGTGATGGCCGACCCAACAGCGGTTTCTCTTAAGAGTTCACTGGATTTCAAATTTTCTTGAAGCTCTCTTGGGCCCTCCCTGTAGATCCTTGCGAGCCTCCCCGGCGCTTTCGGTGGCTTTCCCCGATGGCCTCCCGAGCCCTTCCCCGAGCGCTCCTGAGACGCCTCAGATGGGCTTCGACTTCGACGCACATCCCCGAGAGACTTCGAAACTGTCCTCAATAGGAGGGGGGTGAACGAGCAGTGCGCTGGGCCAAGCTGCTGCAGCGCTGCAAGAGCTCGGACACGAAGGCGCGGTCTCGCTGCCGCCGCCCGAGCCGCCGCCGTGTTTGTAGATTTTCGGTACAATCTGCGCCGTTCCTCCGAGAACCATTCCAGAAAGATGTCGTGGACGGAGTCCACGGGTCAGCCCTAGTCAGCTACAACGCTGGGATCAGCGCGTGCGAGAAGGGCGAGCAGTGGCAGCCGGCGCTTGCGCTGCTGAGCGAGATGTGGGAAGCTGGAGCCCAACGTCAGCCGAGGACCTCCCTGCAGCCCCTCGGCCAACGAAGACGGCTGCAGGGAGGGGTCCAAACGTACCTCCACCTACATGCACCAGTCAACCAATACACCAGAAGCTAAAAGTTCTCATATCTCCAAGCACAAGTTGGAACGAACGTCTCGCCCTGTTGCGAGATAGATCGACCCTCAAGGCTTCTGGGCCATTGCTGCCAGGAAGGTTTCGCATTCTGAGGGTCACGCTTGCGCTCTTCTGGCGCTGCAAGTTAGCCGACGAAAAACAAAAAAACAGCAGGCTAGTGCAATGTATTCATGTTGTTCAGTGCAAAGTCGTGCACAGCACTACAAAGTTATTTGCGCAGCCTGCCGCACTGACCACACCTCGGGTGATAAGGAGGTTTCTGGGGGGGAGGGGATGGGTGCAGCTTTCGTTTTGTGATTGGTGTCAGATCTAGTTCGCGATCTATATATATCTACGGATCTCGATACTTGTAAATCGATGCCCGTAACTACTGGCCACACTACCAAGCTAGCTGTGAATGTTTTTGCACATATAATTGTCAATCTTCCCATGGGTACGAAATAGGAGTTTCCAACTAACGATATACTAGTCTTACGTTCAACCTACCAGTGTCACGATCAACCACTCGGTCGATCGCTTCATGTATCAGTCTCACACTTAAAGTACCGAGTTCTGTGTCAATCAACGACCAGTCTCGCAAAAGGTCTATCTCACTATCCAATTTCATTTTATGATACAGCTATCGGTCTCAGTTTTTTTCGATATCACGATCTATTTATCCGAGCAGTCATCGGGACAACCATCGGGACTACCATATATCTGGACAACCATCGGGACATCCATCGGGACACCCATCGGGACAACCATCGGGACAACCATCGGGACAACCATTGGGACAACCATTTGGACAACCACCGGGCCAAACATCGGGACAACCATCGTGACAACCACCGGAACAACCATCGCGTCAAACATCGGAACATCCATCAAGGCAACCAGCGGGACAACCATCGGGACAGCCATCGGGACAATCTTCGGGACAAACATCGAGACAATCATCGGGACAACTATCGGGACTACCATATTTCGGGATAATCATGGAGGTCACCATCGGGACAACCATGGGGACAACCATCGGGACAACCATCGGGACAACCAACGTGTCAACCATCGGGACAACCATCGGAACAACCATCGGGACAACCATCGGGACAACCATGGGGACAACCATCGGGCCAAACATCGGGACAACCAACGGGCCAAAATTCGGGACAACCATCGGGACAACCATCGGAACAACCATCGCGTCAAACATCGGAACACCCATCAAGGCAACCAGCGGGTCAACCATCGAGACAGCCATCGGGACAATCATCGGGACAATTATCGGGGCAACTATCGGGACAACCCGCATCCACCAGCCCGGCCAGGCCGTCCGACTCGTTTTGTCCTGAATTGTCTTCTACTGGAGCAGGAACTTGCTCAGCCTCGTCTCGGACGTCACGCACGACACGAACCGACATCGAAATCGATTGCCCAGTTGGGCGGCTCCGTTCCACTTCGATCTCACCCCCAATTTTCCGATGGCCACGGAAAATCAGCACCACCCATGGCGCAACTTCGGGCCGCAACATGTGACGCGGCCTCGCGAAGCACAGGCGCGGCATTGTGCACGCACTGCGCATGCATCATGTGGCATGCGCTTTGGGCTACGCGCTCCCATGATGCAGGTACCGCAGACGACTTCGTCGAGCCGCCGTCGCCCCCTTGTCTTTTGGACACGTCTGCGCGGTGACATGTCGAGCGGACGTCCGCCCCCCGCTTGCCGCTGCTGCCCACGTCACGGGCGCGCCCAAGCGCCTCGCGTGTGTGCGTTTGCCTACGCCCAGCCCCGCATCCTGCTGGCCCTGCGACAGCGTGTCGGGCGTGGCCATCAGCTTCCAGGGCACCACCGCGGGCTGCCCCCATGCCGAAGCCGCCCTCAGAGTCACCGAGACACATACGCCGAGCGGGCCGCAAGGCGCGGCGCCAGCATAATTCCACGCTGGCTGGTTGACGACGTCATGCTTGGGCCAGGCATCGTCGCGCTGAGCAGGGCAACCCGCATTCTCTTCCAAGACCTCCAGCGGCTCAACCTTCTCTCGCAGCTCCCCTAGCTGGGCTGTGCGGCCGCCGACCGCAAGGCTGCCGAGCGCCCGACCTCTCAGGGGTTAGCCGCGCGGCGGAGACGCTTGGGGATGCTCCAGCTCTCGGATGGACGACGTGCCGCGCGCCTTCAAGCGACGGACATCGCGCTGGCGGCTGGCTATGGAGCAGGCGCCAGCGGAAATTCGCATGGCAGACTCGAGGATATCCGAATGGCAGCATGAGCACTGGAAGGACACGAGTCTTCCACCAGCCCCGCAGGCACGTCGATGACGTAGTCAGCCGAGTGCTTCGATCCGTCGCGCGCCGTCGCCGCAGCCTTGACCACGTGGTGCTCCAGTCGGTGGTCGGAAGGTCGCGCCAAAACCTAAGATTGGCAGCCTGCTTGGATTGCCATGAGCGAAGCGTTGCAGCATGACCCCGCCCTGGCTAATGCTCAGGGCCCCCTAAGAGAAACGCGCGCCTCGCCATGCGCCGCGCCAGCTGGACCGCAGGCCGTGCGCCACCTCGTTGACGGCCGGGGCCGTTGCCGCTGCCGCATGGGCGCGCCTCCCAGGCGCATTGCCCAGGTTCGTGGCGACACATGCAAGCGCCGCAGCATGGAAGTCTGGCCCCCTGAGACCCAGATGACCCAATCGGGGCTCAGGGCGAGGGCGGCGCCACTCCGCGCGACGACGCCGACTTCGACCGGCTGGGCGAGAACTTGCACTTGCAGCTCGCGTTAGGTGAGGCCCGCCATCGCGGAGGTCTGGGCCCCAATGGCCCCAGACGGCCCGAGCGGCTGCCAGGGGGAAGGCGCCAACGGTCCGACAACGCCAGCGGCCCAGCCTCCCGCGCCAGCGACGGCCGCGACGACGCGGCGGAGGCCGTGGACCCGAATTTCTCACACGACCTCGGCGAAGGACGGGCCACGGGCCGACGTCGCCCCGAAGCGCCAGCGCCGGCCCCGAGCCCTCGTCGCGCCTCGCCTCTTCGCTTGGCTGCTCGGGCCGCAAGATCTTCGGCTCGGCTCCCGCGCCTCGCGAAGATGCCGGAGGGGGGGTGGGCGGGCCGCGGCCAGGGCAAGGACGAAGGCGCGACGGCTCCAACGACGAGGCGCTCCCAGCACGACAGCCCCGACACCGGCGTCCGCGCTTGCTCCGACCGTGGCCCCCGCAGCTCTAGTCTACACGGGGAGGCCTGGGCCCCGACGTCCGACGTCCCCGCGCGACCTCATCGGGGGTTGGGTCGAGGGTGCGAGCGCTTCCAGTTGTCGCGGCGCCAGTTGCGCCATGTTCGACGACTGTTCCAACCTGGAGCCCGACTTCGCCGAGTGCGCTGACCCCAGCACCCCAGAGGGCTACGGTGGCGCCCACGCAGTCAGGAGTGCAGGCGTTGCCCGACGAGCTTCTGGGACACGGGCGAATTCGCTTCCTGGCAGGTCGCAGTACTTGGAGAGACGCCTGGGCGAGCCTGCCAGTTGGAGGGTTCCCAACATCGTCGATGGGCCCACATGACCAATCGTTGACGAGATGGCGGCAGTTTTGCAAGGACTGCCTCATGCATGCGCTCCCCTCCCCGATGTGCGCGCCGCCTCTGGCCGCTGTCTCTCCTGGGCGGCGGGCGCCACGAAACCGAGAGCTGACGCGGGAGATCTGCGCGCCAGCCTGGCAGGAAGGGCGCGCTGGGTGACGCAGACTGCGCGGGCAGGTCGCCCGCTTCAGAGGAGCGGCGCGTCTGGCGCGACTCGGCCGACTGCTTGTATGCCGCCGAGTGCCGCGGTCCTTTTCGTGCCGTTGCGATGGGCGCTCAGTGCCAATCCACGAGGCGGCCGAACTAGCGGTCCAGATCTGCGTTGCGCCGCGGTGAAGCAAGTGACACTTCGGCCCACAAGCGGAGTCGCCAGGTGCTCGAGCCCCGCAGCGGAGCGGCCCTGAGTGGCGAGGAGGCGTATCTTGGCGCTGCGCGCGGCTATCTGGAGGCAAGAGGGTCGGAGCCGGAGCCACGAGCGGGTGACAAACGCAGCAGAAGGCGCCAGTTCAGGCGAGGGAATGATCATCCCTCCGCGAGCATCCGCCGTGGTGGCGGCGGCCGCCGCGGCTGCAGCTGGGCCTGCCATGTGTGGGCGACGGCCCGGGCCGCGCTGGCGACGAGAGCGGTGCGTCGCCGACTGGCTGCGGCAGTGGCATGCGACGGCGACCGAGACGAGGAGGAGCAGCGTGCCCGGCAAGCTGCGCCAGGGAGGCAGCCTGCCGCCAGCCAGGTGGCCCCGCCACTCCAGGCCCTCGAGGCGCGGATCGAGGCCCCCTCCCAGGCCAGGCAGAACGTCGGCGGCTGGCCGGCGCGGGGGCGCAGCCTGAGCCCCCGGCGCAGACGCCGCGCGCGGGGCGGAACCATGTGGTGCGCGGGTCCCAGCGGGTGGCCATCAGCGAGCACGCGGCCCCTGCTCCCGAGCGGACCGCAGCGATGGAGCAGCGCCGCTCGCCCGTCGCTGCGAGCGGGTCGCCGACCGCGGGCCAGAAATCGCCCGATTCCCCTCGGCTTGCCGCTGTTGTTGGGCAGAGGGCGGGGATGCGGGGAGCGGCGTCAGCGCAAGCGGAGACGTGCGCCGCGACGGAGGGCACGAGCTTCTCACGGAAGCTCCACATGCAGTGCGCAGGCGCTGCGGGGCAGGGAGCCCAGCGACCTGCAGTGGAGTGCTCGGGGCCGTGTCCTCCACGGGCCGAGTGCAGGCCCGCCCAGTGAGCGCGCCGCCGCAGGCGGGCCAGAGACTATGGGACGGCCTGCGCCCTTTGACAGGCAAATCGTTGCGTGGCTGAGCCATTGGGGCTCCGTGGGGCCTGGCGTTTCGCGGGCGAGGTCCTGGGTCCTGGTGCGGCTTTGCTTGTCTGGGGTCCCAGGTTGTGGCCTCGGGAGCTCACGAGACCCGCTCTCAGAGTTGTTGGTTTGGGAGCCTCTGGGGGTTCCTGGGAAACTGGCTGCGTGGCTATAGCGACATCACAGGGCCGTAGTTCGTGCGCTGCCGCAGGCACACGCGGGGCTACAGTGAGCGGCTTGAATAAGGAACACTTACTTTTCAAATGGGGCTCGGTCGTTCCTTAGGTTTGCATGCGTTCCGCTACCCTTTTGGCG